CAAGATGTTTTAATCTTTCTAATTTAATTGTATTTTATAAAGAATAGAATGTGTCATTGTCTTATTTTATAACCTTTTTATAGCTATAACAGAAGAAAAACAATTTTCTTTTCTTCTTGTATCAAGTAATAATTATATTATTTTAGTAATTATTTATTTTTTACAAATATAATATATTTTATAATCGTTATTTTATTAGGTATATAAATTCACTACTTTAACTCGACAGTCACTATGATGGAGTCATTCCGTCAGCAGCCCAACTTGAAAGCTTATTTACAAAAAAAAATATTCAATTTAATTTAATAATCAATTATAATGCAAATTTCTGTTATCATAATAAATATTTTCAGTACATTTCGGATATGAATTAAATTTGATATTCATTAAACTAGGTACATACTAACTCTCCTATTATATATTTTATTCCATTTCCAACGATAACGTAAAATAAATATAATAATATTCTTATTTTTAATTTTAATTTTATATTTTTAATATAAACGAAATTTTAATATTATATACGATTTTGTGTACCCACATTTTAGAGATGAGTCAAACTGCTTAAATATTTAGATAACTATTGAAGAACTCAAACTGTAATGCAATTTTAGATACCTATTAGTTTAAAATGAATATACTTCTGGCGACTAATACTGTTTCATCATATAATAATTATTAACATTACGTTTTGAGACTTTTGAACTTTTCAAACATTTAACATAAACGTGTGTACTTAATATATAGAGTAGGTAGTGTATAATGGTGAATCAAATGATATAGTACTTATATAATATTATAAATATGCACTGATAAAATAAATTATAATTTAAGTTTCAAACTTACCATTACAAGCCACATAGTTTTAATTATTTAAAAGTCAAAATAAGTTTAATACTACTACTATTAATATTATTATAACAAGACTGCGTAGATCCAAAATATCATAACAAATTATTATATCTTTTCGTCAAAAAAAACTATACGAGATTTGGTAAACACACGCAATACCTATAATATAGACTATTAATGTTATCAATACACACTCCGAGATAAAACGAACGATTCAACCGAACTGTTCATAGACATACTTAGCGACACGAGACGTAAGAAGGAGGTATAGAGGAAAAAGCCAGTCGGGCGAACCGACCTCAATTAGATGGGTTCGCATTTTTTGTTTTTTCACACCCATAATCTTCGTCTGTCCGTCAGCTATAATTTATGTTGCATACGTTTTCCGTCTCTTCCTCTACTCTTATACACCTCGTCCGGGTTACTCGTAAACCTTCCGGTAAAGCCGTTAAAAGCATTAGGAATAAGAAAAAAAGTGCCATTTCCCCGTAAGCTGTTGTCCGCATAGTGTTTCGCCAAAAACGACTGAACAATATTCTTCAAACCAACCCGTGAGTGCGTTTTTCAATTAACTTGACTTTAAAAAAAAAAAAAAAAACCACCAAAACAACGGAAAAGTCGAAGGGGGAAATTCTGATTTCAAAAAAAAAACCATAATAATAATATTATGTACGCAGTAAGAAGTATATGTCGTATAATGTGTGCAAATTAAGGTTCGTTCGGCGACGTCGTCAGAGTCAGAGAGATGCAGTTGGACTAAAAAAAATAATAATAATAATCTGCAAGTCGCAATCGGAAATAAAAAAAAAAAACACCAAGCAAAGTCTCGAAAATCGCTGCGGGTCTTTGAATATTATTATAATTCAAACAGTTCTAGAAACGAATTATAAATCGCGTTTGAAGAGAAATGAAATCACTTTGATTTTCTTTTACCCGTATGAGCCGCGAGAACTGCGTCATCGTCGTATAATAATATAATTTTGTTGGAAATTCTCGAGCACCGTCAAAACACCGCCCACGCTTTGAGCACATATTCATAAGCGCAAATATAATGTATACTGCTTAAAATTTGGTCTCGGGCATGTTTGTATTATATTTTATAAGTCGAAAGAAGCCAAGAACAATTGCGTACCTATATACTATACGAACGGGACCCGAACACGACATTATTATTAACATAACATAATCAACTCATATTAATAATAATAATACGCAGAGAATAAATATCGTATTATTATTGTTGTTGTTGTTTAATAAATTAACGATAAATTCATTTATGCGGCTAATTCATTTTGAAGCCTTTTGACGCAGTTCCTTTGCACACAGCACTGCACTCGACGTCCGGATGGCCGAGTGCTTGACCGTGTCACGTTCCTTTCTCAAAAGCCGTAAGTCTGTTTAGAATTGACCATACCGAGTATCATACACTCTTACCGTCTTCCGGACACCGATTCGTGCGAGATAAACTAAATAATTTCCTCATTATATTACAGTTTTCGGTTTTTGAAATGTTTATAAAATATTTTTGTACGTTGTTGTAAAAATGTTTGTAAATGTCATAAAATTGTATGGACTAAGATTTTGTATAAAACGACTCAGTTTATATACGTATTTTACCTATGTATAGTTATATAATAGGTGTTGTAACTATATTTTATCTTATTACAGAATGAATACAACATTTTTAATATAAGTTGCTTGATTTACATTTTTTTCTTACAATCATTATTATTATTATAATTTGTTATACATATTATAATACATTACATAATTCATTTTTTACGTTCGGATGCTGGACCATACATTATTTCATCTTTTGCCTCATTTGAATTATCGTCGGACTCGTCTTCATTCATTTGCTGAAACAGTATCACATCCACTTATAGCATGTACAAATAAAATTGACATTTTTATGCCATTTTAATTAACCTTGTGGTTGAATTGAATATATTATTTTTTCATTTCCTCCATTTCATGGTTTTAAAACGATCTAATTTTCTACCAGTGTAAGAGCTATTAATAAAACCAGTAAATCTATATCTTGACCAACTACAACAACAGATTGACTTTGCGCCCTCTTTAAAGCTTCATTTACAAACATAGTGTCAGTATCGTCATTGGCTTGTTTAATAATGTAACCTTTGCCTATCAAATATGAAAACAACATTTGTATAAATCTACTTTTGTTTCTTATATTTGATAAGAATGATGTTTGTGCAACAGTTAGAACCATAATCTCATCAAATGAAATGCCCTCCGAAGTATTTTTACACGCTGACTACGTTCCATATTTTTTGTACATGTCGAGCTTTCATTGAAGCTGCCCAAAACTATAACTGCATTGGTCCCAAAATGTTTTGTTATAAGGGTCAGAGTGAAAAATAATAAATGACACAATAATATGTTTTATAATAAATAATAATACACAAATATTACCTATCACACAGTTCTGACTAAGCAGTTTACACGAGGGTGAAATAAGAATAATAATTTGAAAATGTACTGGTGAACAATATACATAAAGTACCGGCTGCCTCCGACCAAGCGTTTATCGGCGGGCGGAATAATAATCGAAAATACCATATTTTATAATAATAAACAAATACACAAGAATACTGTCCACTGTCAAATAACATAATATATAATAAATGGTTTAGTTTACAATAAAAAAAACATTACCATACTCATAATGTTTTCATGTGCGATGTGCCGCCTCTCAGAGCACCAGAAAAAACTGTGACTACCTACTCGTTGATCACATCGCTGGGACGGGAAAAAATGGAGTGACGGTCTATTGCTATGTAGGACGATACCAGGCTATTGTGGTTGGGACAAACAGGCGACCGGCAACCGTGGGTCATCGGTGGAGACCTTAAGTCAGCGAGATAAGTTGGCTTATCGCATGTCTCGCTAACAATTTACCTGCCTGTAATATATAATAATTATATTATAATAATTAATGTACTTTTGTGTGCGTTATTTGCGTTGGAAGTCACAATATTGGGATCATGTTCATTATTATTATTAAATATAATAAAGAAATTAAAGAGAAGTAGTAAATTAATACACACCGAATATATTTGTAAAATATTGATAGCTATAACATACAAATATCACCACTATATAGGTACATCTAGCTTTAACAGTAAACACTAAACATGTTTGATAAGAATTAAACATTAACATTCAACAATTAACTAATCAGTACATACAGAATTTATAGATTTTATAAAGTGATTAACATATTATGTACCTATTACATATTAATTCAATTTTAAATTTATTTTTTGGATTACAGTCTGTAATTCATATTGTTACGGTTCCCTAAGACCACATATTTTATATTTTTCTATAGTATTTGAATAAAAACGCTGATAAAAACCAAGGCTCTGCATCCAAACGTAATATTTTTATATTATTATTAACAAATAATAATTTAACTCTACCTTTTGTTATTTATGTTATTCAATTATAATTTATGTATTTTATATTATATAACTATAATATAAAATATAATTTTATTTACATGATAAATTACTATTGAGTTATATTATATATTGAGGTTCTTCAGTAATAAAAAGAGAAAAACATTAAAGTTTATATAGAAAATTTCAAATATTTTTTACTCTTAAGTGTTTTATTTAAAATTATGGATAACTAAACATTATAAATAGTAAATGTTCAATATGGTTTTATTTAACACTATAAAAAGTAAAAAGAATTATGATACCTATGTAGCTTTTTAGTGTTTGTACGCCACAGAAGGAAAATATACTTTTGTACTGGTTGACGATTACTGATTAATAATATAAAAGAAATATACCTATTGATAGCAAATAGGGTAATAGGGTATTGATGTCCATCAAATTTCTAAAATGTTTTATTTATCTTCTGTTAGTATTAATTATAATTTAAATATTCAACTGAGAAAATGTCTGGTATTTCAAACGTAAGTGCTGCAATAGTGTATTAGATTAGGCCTTAGACAATATGTCAATACAATGCTTAAGTAGTTCCGGCAGGCGGCAACGCCATCGATGTTACAAAAAAAGACCTTAGACAATGGTTTATGGGCGATGGGCCGCTTGAAAAAAAATTCCCGGGCCGCTCTGAAGGAGCCAGTCCGCCCCTGATTACAGATAAATCGGATGAGTCTTGTCTTAAACCAACGGGCCATGATAGAAAAAAACCCAAGAATAAAACGTCAGGTATAATTAATGTATACTGATTAAAATACCAATATTTTATTATCTGTATATCTTTAAGCATTTACTTACATGGTTTTCTTTTTTATTACTATTTAGATTAAGTTTTTTATCCTACGAAGACTGCATGAACACTATCATTTTGAGATGTATGGAATATTTAGAATTAATCTAAGACAATTACATTCTTTATTCAGCATAGCAATTGGTTATTTAGTAACAAAAACTTTGTTCAAATTGAATAGAAATTAAGAAGAGATGATTAATCATTTGATAATGTTTTTAGTAATAGAGATATTGTTTTCATTGTTCAAACTTTATACTTTAATGTTTAAAAATATTAAATTTTAAATTACTGGTTTTATATTAAAATTGCATAATAATATTAAATTATTATAAATTAGTATACATTTTATAAGATATTCAAATTATGTGACAATTTAAAAACTAATATAAGTTGTTCATATTTATCTCATCATTATTTATGTGAAGTTTAACGTAAAGTCTAAGTACATATTTTAGATTCTGAGTGGAGTAAATGGATGCATTGTTTGAAAGATTTACAATGGACATTTTTATTTATGATTTGTTTATGGTTGCTATTGGTTTTAATAATAATTATTATTAACATTAACGCGATAAACCCATGTAATTTATTACAGAATGTCTCGAGTTCTAACTACGGTATCAGTGAACCAATTGTTTTCATTGATTTACATTGTTTTTCTTTTTTTTTACATTTTTATTTATTTATACATACGAATTTTTAATCTTTTATTCATCTGATTTTAGTATGGTTATGTAAGGTTAGAGTTCTGTTTAATTGATTGTATTAATCCACCGTAGATTGAATTAAGTAAAATCGACAAGCTTGGTACAACTTTGATACTTTTTTTTTTTTTTTAATTCATTTATTACGGCTTCGACATTATAGTCATTATCCGGGAATAAAAACATATTTACATGTTATTTACAATCATCATAATATTTAAGTTAAGGTAATACAGTACAACAATTATAGTGTAATTAGTAATAATACATATTTTTATTAACTATTTAAATTCCATTATGTAGATTGGTTGTTTTATATGGAAATAAGTGAGTTGTTGCAGATTTCGCAGGTTGGTATCGGTTGTCTTATTATTAAGTAGACGTGGGTTATATTTCTGTGGCCAATTTTTATTCTTCTCCATATCACTTGTTGTCGTCTTGTACTTAACGGAGGAGTCGGGTTTGGTGCCAAAAAAGGTTTTATTTGGTGTAACTTGTTATTCTGTTCCTGGTCCTAGAGTTGTTGGTAAGCCTTATTGATACTTTCTAAGGCGGTTGGGGCAGTGTCCTTAAAAGATGAGAGTTCTATTTTGGGGGTATTGTTGTTGGTGGAGGCTTCTTTAGCTGCTACATCAGCTTTTTCATTTCCTGGTATGTTTTTGTGGGCAGGTATCCACATGAAGGATACCGAAAGGGGGGGCAAGGGAAAAGGCTCTTTCTTGTATGTTTTTTATTACTTCATTAATTGTTGTCCCTTGGTTTTGTATAGCTAGGATAGAACTAAGGGAATCACTAGCGATTAAAAAGGACTTTGTATTTTTCCAATTTTTTTCAGCTAGTTCTATGGCTTCCAAGATCGCTAGAGCTTCAAGGGTGAAAATAGAATTTAGCTCCAGTGAGGAGGTCTTGAAAATTTCTTCAACTGTAATTTAAGCTAGTCCTGTTTTATAGTTGGATTTCGATCCATTGGTGTAGATAATTTTGTGATTACAGAAATTCTTAAGTATGATGTCCTTAAAATGTTTGGGGATTTCTGACGGCTCTATGTTTTGGATTTCTTGGATCATTGAGGTGTTGATGTTACGATTCATTTTCCAAGGTTGGTATATGTAGGGAGCAAGGGGGAGTAGTTTGGGCAGCGGTGTATTTGTTGTGTCTTGCCATCTTGTGGTTCCCAACCTTTTTGATACTATGGACCACTTAGAGAACTTTCGATAAGTCACGGACCACCTCAACTTCACAACTTTATTTTCTTATAAACAAGAATCATTTTATTTCACACATTTTAGAATTTAGATTATGAATAAACAAAAATCAATTAAATGCTTTATAGCAGATTTTATAATGTTTACAATTGATTAGTTTTAAGAAAAAGTAGAAAATTATTAACAATTTAAAGCAAATTAATAGTATAAAAAAATGTACATCATATTATTATATTTATTATAACGGCTCACGGACCACCAAACAATATGGACAATTGGTTGGCCGTTGGGAACCAATGCTTTAGAGTTAAATTATGCACTTACCTATTAATATATTAATAATACGAACATTGTAAATAATACGAGGAAGTAAATCATAAATGTAATCTAATGAAACAACATAGACCAGAGAACAAAAAAAACCAACAATTTAAAATTCAAGTATTTATAATATTATGATTCACTCTGCAAGGAGCATAATATTGTATATAATTTATTATTATATATATTATTTTTTTCTGAAATATTTGGTATAACGATTCAATTATTATATTATAAAGGTACAATTATATTATTAAAACTAGCTGAACCCGTGCACTTCGTTGCCCATTAAGTGTACCAACTCTAGTCTATGTGACTCAAACTTTGTTCAATTTTTTATTTAATATTTAGTGTATGGTTTCAAAATTAATCTTAACTTTTCCGTTGCCCGGAATAAAAATTCTGTTTCACTGCAGTACATTATCAGGTAGGCAATCTACCTGCGGTAGATCGCGGACCCCGGGCTGTGTGTACGTAAGTGTATGATTTAACTCTAAAGTATTAAAGTTATACCAAGTTTGTCGTATTCTATCTATGGTGGATTAATATAATCGATTATATAAAATCCTAACATAACCGTAATAATGATGAATAAGAAAAACTTAATTTTTTAAATTAGCCAATCTTCTACCCAAAGGTCTAATCTACACATAAACATTCAATTATATATTATATATGTATATATTGACGAAAAATAATAATACAAATCAACAAACATACCAAAAATATAACCAAAATATAATACATTATTATTTTTATTTTTTTTTTGGCCATGTCAAAAGTTGTGCACTTAAGAGACCACAACCACTCATCGTACATTGTACTTTGAGATCTCCTATTATATTGTTGGGCGACATAATTACGTGATCGTCGGCCAACATTTTGTCGTTTTGGTCGTGGCATTTTTTAACGCCTAAATCCATACAATTGAAATTGAATAAAAATCAATCTCGTTTAATCTCAAACCAATTAATATTTATCTAGAAAATAGAATTGTTGTTGTCATGTCAACCGACGTTTTTTTCATTTTTCATACATTTTGTTGTTGTTTTTGGTCATGTCGCCAGGTGTGCACTTATGAGGCCATAACTCCGGAACCATTTATCGCACAGCGTACAAACTTCACAGAAACCATCTACATATCAATCTTAATATGCCCTGAAATTTTTATCGAAATCGGTTCGGTGGATCTTGAGCTATAAGATTTATTCAAAATGTACACTTATTTTTATATATATAGATATGCAAACAACACACATGATATACCAATACGCTTAGCGTGTGGTGTGGTTTTATTTTTACATAATATAGGTAAAATGTATGAGTTGGGGTGTGTGTGTGTGTGTGTGTGTGTGTGTATCTGACGTAGATATAATAATGCATTTAAATTAAATCTGGCAACTATATAAGTAAGATGAAAATATATAAGTAAATATTTTTTAAGAGATCGAGGGTTTATTGTTCCTTGTTTTAGGTGATTTTTTCATGACTGTTCGATGTAATATTATAATACTTTCACGCAGTCATCAGCGTGATTCGTTTTCAGTTTAGGTACCTTTTTTTTTTTTTTTTTTATTTGCAAATAAGTAATATACAATCTGTACCAAATGACACAATAAGCATATAGGCTCAGAGTACAAATATGGCATGATAAAAATTGAAGAAAGAAGCCACCCATTGGCGACTATTCACAGGAGAGTTTACAAGTTAGTTAATTAAAAGATCTTGGCACCACTTACGCTTTGGGCGCCTTGGGGGATTTCCGGGTATGGTAACAGACGCAAGGTTCTTGATTAGAGGATTATTGTGATAGTTTGTTCTGGCGTGAAATCGTTTGTAGTAGGCCTTGGCTTCTTCGTTAAGCGTTTTTAGATTTAGATCTGTGTGGAGTGAGAGATTTGATACATAAGGAGGGGCATTCGAGAGTTTCCTTATGGCGATATTTTGGAACGTTTGAATTTTATTTAGGTTCGACTTTTTTGCGTTTCCCCATAGCTGAATCCCGTAAAGCCAGATAGGTTTGAGCAGGGATTTATAGATGAGCAGTTTGACATTTAGAGAGGAGTCTCAGGAGTGTTTATTATTATGAAGCAGAGTTTTTAGCATTCTTAGTCGGTTATTTAAAGTTAACATTTTGGATTTGATGTGAGAGGCCCAGGTTAGTCTTTGATCGAAAGTGAGGCCCAGGTACTTGACTTTTGATGAGGAGGTGATTGGGGTTCCGTATAAGGTGACGCTGGGGCAGGGGGCAAGTCGGAGAGTAAAGGTTGTATGTATCGATTTGTTTGGATTGACTTTAAAGCGCCAATTTGTAAACCAGTTTTCCATCGAGTATATGTGGTTTTTCGTTTTAACCATGTCTTATAAATTATAATATTAGACGCTGATAATACTATATATAGGTTGCACGTAGGTGGCGAGCCACACTCGTGTCCATTAGAAAACGCAATATTTCTGTTTTTATATATATTAACATATTACAGATAAACATTATTATTGATATAAGCTATATTCTAAATAATTTAAATATTTTAATCATATATCCATATATGTACACCACATATTATATTTTAGTAAAATATAAATATTAGGTATTTTATAACATTATTATATAGGAAGGACATTGAATAATTTATAGAATTAATACAACATTTTTAATATAAGTTGCTTTATTTCCATTTTTTTTTTTACAATAAATATTATTATTATAATTCATTATACATATTATAATACATTACATAATTCATTTTTTACGTTTGGATTCTGGAACAATGGACCATATATTATTTCATCCTCGTCCTCATTTGAATTATCGTTGGACTCGTCTTCAATAATTTGCTTTTCACAATTTAAACATGAAGGGCCCAGATCAATTTTGGTCAGGCAATTGGTCGGATATGAACAAACTTTAATGAGTTCAATGGAAACTATTGGCGGTCTCACACATGGCCGAGG